TGTTTGAATTTTCTTGTGTCATTAGTTTACTTTTGCAACCCTCAAGGAAAGTGTTGATCCATTCTTTGCAGCCTGCACCTTGAACAGTCATTATTAGTGTATTGTGATATATTCTTATCACAACTTTTTTTCCAGACATTGTTAAAGTTGTTACTAATCCTTTTTTGTCTGGGGTCTGGACCATGCTGTATTGAGATTGTAGAATTTCTCTCATTTTATCATGTGTTGATTGCACAAAGAAGGTTATTGTTATGTTATCACTTGCTGGACTAACATATAGATCAAACATATTGTCCTCTGTTAAAGTACCTGTTAAGTCGCTTTGAATTCCATGCAGAACTCTTGTTGCCATGGCAACCAAAAAAAAAGACTTAAAATATCTTCTTCTAAAAAACCCAAAGAGCTAGAGCTTAGATTTTTGGCATGAAACATCTTCTGGTGAGTGTCTACCAAGTTTGTTCAAATAAAAGCCCTTGGGTCAAAATTGGCCCCGCCCCAGGGGGTCATTGATTTTCCCTATATGCATATAGTAAAAACTTAAAAATTCTTCTTTTAAAGAACCAAAAGAGCTAGAGCTAAGATATTTAGCATGAAACATTTTCTAATGGGTGTCTACCAAGTTTGTTCAAATAAAAGCCCTGGGGGTCAAAATTGGCCCCGCCCCAGGGGGTCATTGATTTTCTCTATATGCATATAGTAAAAACTTAAAAAATCTTCTTTTAATGAACCAAAAGAGCTAGAGCTAAGATATTTAGCATGAAACATGTTCTAATGGATGTCTACCAAGTTTGTTAAAAAAAAAGCCCTTGGGTCAAAATTGGCCCCGCCCCAGGGGGTCATTGATTTTCCCTATATACATATAGTAAAAACTTAAAAATTCTTCTTTTAAAGAACCAAAAGAGCTAGAGCTAAGATATTTAGCATGAAACATTTTCTAATGGGTGTCTACCAAGTTTGTTCAAATAAAAGCCCTGGGGGTCAAAATTGGCCCCGCCCCAGGGGGTCATTGATTTTCTCTATATGCATATAGTAAAAACTTAAAAAATCTTCTTTTAATGAACCAAAAGAGCTAGAGCTAAGATATTTAGCATGAAACATGTTCTAATGGATGTCTACCAAGTTTGTTCAAATAAAAGCCCTTGGGTCAAAATTGGCCCCGCCCCAGGGGGTCATTGATTTTCCCTATATACATATAGTAAAAACTTAAAAAATCTTCTTTTAAAGAACCCAAAGAGCTAGAGCTAAGATATTTAGCATGAAACATCTTCTAATGGGTGTATTTCAAGTTTGTTTAAATAAAAGCCCTTGGGTAAAAATTGGTCGCCCCAGGGGGTCATTGATTTTCCAAATTTCCTTATATGTGTATAGGAAAAACTTAAAAATTCTTCTTTTAAAGAAGCAAAAGAGCTAGAGCTAAGATATTTAGCATGGAACATCTTCTAATGGGTGTCTACCAAGTTTGTTCAAATAAAAGCTCTGGGGTCAAAATTTGCCCCGCCCCAGGGGGTCATTGATTTTCCCCATATGCATATAGTAAAAACTTAAAAATCTTCTTTTAAATAACCCAAAGAGCTAGAGCTAAGATATTTAGCATGAAACATGGTCTAATTGATGTCTACCAAGTTTGTTCAAATAAGAGCCGTGGGGTCAAAATTGGCCCGGCCCTGGGGGTCATTGATTTTCCAAATTTCCTTATATGTGTATAGGAAAAACTTAAAAAATCTTCTTTGGAAAAAAACAAATAGATAGAGTTTAGATATTAAGCATGAAAGATCTTCTAGTTAGTGTCTACAAAGTTTGTTCAAATATAAGCCCTGGGGTCAAAATTGGCCCCACCCCAGATGTCATTCATTTTCCCTATATGTGTAAAACTATAGCAAAAATTAAAAAATCTTCTTTGAAAAAAACTCAAATAGCTAGAGTTTAGATATTAAACACGAGGCATCTTCTAGTGAGTGTCTTCAAAGTTTGTTCAAATAAAAGCCCTGGAGTCAAAATTGGCCCCGCCCCAGGGGACATTAATTTTCCTTATATGAGTATAGCAAAAACTTAAAAATCTTCTTTGAAAAAAACCTGAATAGCTAGAGTTTAGATATTAAGCATGAAACATTTTCTAGTAAGTGTCTACAAAGATTGTTCAAATAAAAGCCCTGGGGTCAAAACTGGCCGTGCCCCAGGTGTGTCATTGTTTTTAACTATATGTGTAAAGAAAAAACTTAAAAAAATCTTCTTTTAAAAAACCCAACAAGCTAGACCTTAGATGTTTAGCATGAAACATTTTCTAATGGTTGTCTACCAAGTTTGTTCAAATAAAAGCCCCGGGGTTTAAACTGGCCCTGCTCCGGGGGCCTATGTACAGGTGAGCGACTTCAGGGCCATCATGGCCCTCTTGTTATATTTTGCAAGATCAACCAATATACCTTTAAGCAAATTTAAGCAGACTTTGAAAATAGCACCTCATTGTGGTAAATTTTAGGGATATTTTTAATAAAGCTTTTTAAATAGGGAAATTGTCAAATAAGTGTTTAATTTGGATGGGGTAGGGTAACATTTTTATACATGTTAAAAGCATTTTGTGTAGTAATAATCTTTTGCTTGTGTGATCTGTTTCATGAATATTATTACTTCATTCTTATAAGTTAAATCAATAGGAAATTTTTTTCATAATGATGATATTATAGATTGTTTAGATTTTCCTCATTTTTGAAAAAGAGCCCTTCTAACAGCAAAGTTTTAGTTCAGAAAAATGTTCATAACTGATAAACCATACAGTAAATTTTCTTTAAATTTTGTATAAAGGTGTCCTACAAAGCATATAACTGTCCTATGTTGTCAATTTTGCAGTTCCGTACAGTGTCCATTATGGGTCTCCTACCATAATTATTAATCATTATTGATCAATCCTTTGTGGTCAATATATTGTCACTTAATTTATATAGACTTATATAGAAAAAAAGTCTTATTATGTGAAACAACCATGTCAAGACCTATTCTTTGCCGGCAAATGGTGCCTTTATGAAATCATTGGTCAACAATCAGATCCCTAATTAAAAGAGCTGCAAAATATTTTGTTAAAGAATTGTTTATTCCATTTAAATAAAGTGTTCCTTTGTCTTGACATTCTATGTTACAACTCTAGAGTATCAAATTAACTCTGTTATTTATTCACCGCCTCCATGGTCTAGGGGTAAGAGTCCATGACTTCTAATGCAGTTACCTCTCTTTAAGGTCACTGTTACCTTAAAACTAAAAATAGTTCGGAGCATAACTTAAGTTCCATTTGACCCACAGTATTCAAACTTCATGGGTGATTGACCATAATGGGGAGAAGACCCCTATTGATTTTTGAGTCACAAGGTCAAAGGTCAAGGTCGCTATTACCTTTAAGCTGAAACAGTTTCCGCTCAATAACTAAAGTATTAATCAACCTACAGCTGTAAAATTTTATAGGATGAACAGCCATGTCCAATACATGACCCCTATTGATTTTAGGGTCATAAGGAAAGGTCAGGGTCACTATGATCTTTACACTGAAAGTTGTGGTTTCTGGAGCATAACTACAACTTGATGGTGGTGCTTTGAAAACTGGAACTGTATATTGTATATATATGAATGTTCTTCAGCTATAAAGGAGGATTGCTTTTTGAAGGAGGTAATACTGTATTTAATTCCCATGTCTTACAAATGTTTCATCCTTACTAACAATAAAATCACTTTCGGGCATATAATGCTTCGCCTAGCAGTGCTCTTGTTCAGTTATTGCCCTTTGTTATTTTCAGCCATCAGTATTCACATAGGTTTCAAATCTGTAATCACTTCAGCCATCAGTTTTCATTACCAAAAGACCTCATAAATTTGAATTATTCTGCTCTACTACATATACATTCTTCCAATGTGCGAACACATTTGGCGAGGGATTGCCATGTTGACATAGCTCTTGTCTCTTGTATAAACATAATTTCATTACTGGGCAGGGAAACTTAACAGACATGTATAAACATAATTTCATTACTGGGCAGGGAAACTTAACAGACATGTATAAACATAATTTCATTACTCCAGGGCAGGGAAACTTAACAGACATGTATAAACATAATTTCATTACTGGGCAGGGAAACTTAACAGACATGTATAAACATAATTTCATTACTGGGCAGGGAAACTTAACAGACATGTATAAACATAATTTCATTACTGGGCAGGGAAACTTAACACATGTATAAACATAATTTCATTACTGGGCAGGGAAACTTAACACATGTATAAACATAATTTCATTACTCCAGGGCAGGGAAACTTAACACATTACAAAGATATAGACAAACTAAAAACTCAAAAGATTTAAGTTTATTTATGTCATTCATTCATACAATGGCATAATTAAATGACCAATATCCCTTCTGAATGTTGCTGGGGTTCAAACCAGTAGGTGACTTATGGATTGCATGCAAAACTATGATAATTGCTTGTTGAAATTTGCTTTGTCATAATTTTGTTATTTATGTATAGATGTGATTTATTCTTGGACAAAAGAATACATTACACAAAACAAGACATTTTGAATTATTCTTAAATGACCTTGACCTTTGAATGGCCATTACTGTCAAGATCAAATAATTGAAATTTGCTTAAATTGTCTTGACTTTGTTATTGATTTGATTCATTCTTGGACAAAAGATCTGGACTTATAGCAAAATAGATAGATATTCACATATGTAAAATACTTTCCACAATGAATTGTCCAGAGAGTAGACTCATTATTGCGCAATTTCATTTCATGTTGTTATGCATATATAAGTTATGGAAAGTGGAAAATTCAACTTTTTAGCTATGAAGACAATCTAATATGTCAATCTTGTTTTAAAAATGTGTGTCAACTAAATGTTTCAGAATGATAAATTTGAGTAACAACAGTATAAACATGTCAGACAACACGGATGTTTATTTGATATAGTTTTTCACAAAATATATTTACTATTGCTGAGCATTTAAATTTGCAGGCTGGATCAAGAGTTCCTACTAGAAGTGAGATAAGTTGGAGCCCAGATTTCCTTGTTGTTGCTATAGGAAATGACGATGGGTAGGAGATTTTTTATTTATTGTAATCTTTACTGGAAATTTAGAAATACTGAAACAATATTATGTATTAGTATTCAGTCATGTTTTACCTGCACATTTCAAGTTGTAGTTATAAGTCATTGTGCTTGTTCTGAATCTCTTCCAAGTGACAAACTCAGAATTCTTAGGTTGGACAGAAGAAGTCATTGTACTCTTTTTGCAGCAGTAAGCATATGACATAAACAATTTTGAATTGTCTACTTAAAGAACAAAGAAATTGATTGTGTTTGCTTACCTTTTCCTCTTTCATCCCCCTTGCCTGTTTTGTTTTTGTTGATATTACACTAAATTTAATTTTTTGAGCAAGATCAATATCTACAACTGCTGAAGAAACTCACATTCACAGTGACATTATAAGGTCACTGTCTAAGGCCAATTTCTCTAGCTGTTACAGTTAAGGATGTCCACTCTCCTAAATTTTCCTTTATTTGACCATTGTGCTATAATTACCTATATTTTCTGTAATTGGCCAAAAAGTTCTTATGGGTAAGCAAGCACAAAGTGGCATTTTAAATGAATAGATGAGCTTAGAACACCTCTAATATCTGTATATGATATATTTCTTTCATGATACATCATTCCTACAGGTATAGTGACCCTATCAAACCCAGTCAGTTTCTTTTTATCTTAAAAATAAATGCATTTTAAGCTCATCTGAGCACGACGTGCTCATGATGAGTTATTGTGATCCCCCAGCATCCGTCGTTGTGTGTCTGTGTGTCATCAACAAATTCTTTAAACAACATCTCAAAAACCAATAACTGCTCAGTAACCAAACTTTACAGGAATGATCCTTGGGTAGTCCCCTGCCAAAGTTGTTCAAATGGTTCCGGTCTGTTGCATAATTAGAGGTCACGGTGCTAGAAAAGGAGTTAAAAAAAACTTTAAAAAAATCTACTTGTCTGAAAGGAGGAGGCCTACAGCTTTGATATTTGGTATATGATATCAGCTATAGGTCCTCTACCAAAGTTGTTCAAATTATAGCCCTGAAATCAAAATTGGCCCCGCCTTGGGGTTCATAGGTTTTCCTTATACATGTATGTATATAGTAAAAACTTAAAAAACCTTCTCCTCTGAATTGACAAAGGCTAGAGGTTAAATATTTGACATGAAGCTTTGTGTAGTGGAACTTTGTGTCGGCGTCCGTCTGTCCAAACTTCACAGGAATGTTCCTTTGGTGGTCACCTTTGAAAATTGTTTAAAGAATTTAATTCCATGTAGAACCTTGGTTGCCATGGCAACCAAAAGAAAAACTTTAAATATCTTCTCCTAAAAAACCCGAAGAGCTAGAGCTTAGATATTTGGCATGAAACATCTTCTAGTGAGTGTCTACCAAGTTTGTTCAAATAAAAGCTCTGGGGTCAAAATTGGCCCCGTCCCAGGGGGTCATTGATTTTCCCTATATGCATATAGTAAAAACTTGAAAAATCTTCTTTTAAAGAACCCAAAGAGCTAGAGCTAAGATATTTAGCATGAAACATGTTCTAATGGATGTCTACCAAGTTTGTTCAAATAAGAGCCCTTACTATATGCATATAGTAAAAACTTAAAAATTCTTCTTTTAAAGAACCCAAAGAGCTAGAGGTAAGATATTTAGCATGAAACATCTTCTAATGGGTGTCTACAAAGTTTGTTCAAATAAAAGCCCTGGGGTCAAAATTGGCCCCGCCCCAGGGGGTCATTGATTTTCCTATATGCATATAGTAAAAACTTGAAAAATCTTCTTTTAAAGAACCCAAAAAGCTAGAGCTAAGATATTTAGCATGAAACATGTTCTAATGGATGTCTACCAAGTTTGTTCAAATAAGAGCCCTTGGGTCAAAATTGGCCCCACCCCGGGGGTCATTCATTTTCCTTATATGCGTATGGCAAAAACTTAAAAAATCTTCTTTGAAAAAACTCAAATAGCTAGAGTTTAGATATTAAGCACGAAGCATCTTCTAGTAAGTGTCTACCAAGTTTGTTCAAATAAAAGCCCTAGGGTCAAAATTGGCCCCGCCCCGGGGGACATTGATTTTCCTTATATGTGTATAGCAAAAACTTAAAAATCTTCTTTGAAAAAACCCGAATAGCTAGAGTTTAGATATTAGGCATGAAACATTTTCTAGTAAGTTTTCTAAAAAAAGTTTGGGTTCCCAAATAAAACCCCCTTGGGGTAAAAACCTGGGTAAAAAGGGTGTTGTAAATTGTTTTTTAACAAATAGTGAAAAGAAAAAACTTGGGACCAAAGCTAGACCTTAGATGTTTAGCATAAACATCTTCAATGGGTTTTACCAAGTTGTAAAAATTAAAAGCCCGTGGGGTTATTTAAAACAGATCCCCCCCTTAAAATTTAACCGGGGGGTTATAATAAAGGGGGTGGTAGGGCCGGGACGCTTGGTTTTTTAATTATCTCAAATTTTTTAAAAAAAAAATTTTTGCCCCGGACTTTAGTTTTTGTTAAAAATTTTTATAAGGGGATATCAACTTTAAAACCCCTTTTTGGGTTTAAGATATATCTAAATATGTAGTTTTGGCAGTGCCCCAAGAATCATAAACCCTCCCTTTTCCAAAATTTTGGAGTTTTTTGCCCTTTTTTTTTTCTTTTTACTTTTAAAAAGTCGGGTTACAAACCCGGGGGAAAACCAAATAAGAGATTCAACAAAAACTTTTTTAGGTTGAAGAGGGGCATTGGTTAGAAGGGGCCCGGGGTATCCCAAAAAAAACCCCCCCCAACGGGGCCCTTTTTCCTGGGTTTTTGGGAATTATTTGCCACTTTGGGGAACATTTTCCAAGGGACAAAAACCCTAACACAAAGGGGTGTGTTTTCCCTTTTCCCAAAAACCAAATTGGGGTGCATCACCCGGTTTCAAAACCGGGGCTTTTGGGTAAAAATAAAAATTGTAAAACCTTGACCTTTAAACCTAAAAAAAAATAAAGGGGGTCACTGACAGGCCCTGAAAAACTCATCACCCCATGTTTAAAATTCCCCTTGGGTCCCTAAAGAAATTTAGTTTATTGATCAGTAACTGTTTTTACCTACAAGGTCAATGTGACTGACCTTGACCTTTGACACTTTGACCCCAAAATCAATAGGTTTCATCTGCTGGTCATGAACCATCATCATACCAAGTTTGAAGTTCCTAGGCCTAAACATTCTTAAATTATTGATCGGAAACTGTTTTTATCTACAAGGTCAATGTGACCTTGACCTTTGACCCCAAAATCAATAGGGGTCATCTGCTGGTCATAACCAATCATCATAGCATGATTGAAGTTCCTAGGCTAAAGAGTTCTTTAGTTATTGATCGGAAACCTTTTTTTACCCATAAGGTCAATGTGACCTTGACCTTTGACCCCTTGACCCAAAATTAATAGGGGTCATCTGCTGATCATGGCCAATCATCATACTAAGTTTGAAGTTCCTAGGCTTAAGCGTTTTTTAGTCCTTTTGGGTTAGGGCCCGGGACGACAGACAAATAAAAAACCCAAATTAAAAAGGCCCTCAATTTTTTAACACATTTTACCAAAAATTTTGAGTCAATTTCCCCTAAAAAAAAGGGGTGCATATGTGTCGGTTCGACATTTTTTGTTTCACAGCTATATTTTTTTGGCATTATTAAAGTCCCAAAGAAAACCTATATTTTTCTTAACAAAAAAATTTGGGTTAAAACCCCCTCTAATTTGAAAAATTTAACCCTTAAATTTGCCTTTAAATAATGACCCAACGGGGTTGGTTAAAAATTCACCCCCTTCACTTTTAAAAATGTTAACGGCAAACTTTTTTTTTTTTTTAAAAAAACCCAAAAAGCGGTGTGTTTTTCCACTGTTCCCGGGCAAAGGGAACCAATGATCGGGGTTTCGAGAGTTTTGGCAATAGCTTTTCGAGGGATCCGAGGTTAAACAATATATATTATATTAGGAATTTTGCCGGGACTCTGGGCAAAGTGTTCAAGCCAAGGGAGGTATTCAAGTGATCCTAGTTCGAGCGAATAAAGTTTAACTGTATATAGTAAAAACTTTATAAATCCTCTTGTGAAAATCAAAAAGAGATAGAGCTTAGATATTAAGCATGAATCATCTTCTAGTGAGTGTCTACCATGTTTGTCTTTATAAATGCCCTAGGGTCAAAATTGGCCCCGCCCCAGGGGTCATCGATTTTCACAAGAATATTTTTAAAAAATTTTTACAATATGCATATAAATGCATAAAGTAAAAACTTTAAAAATATTCTTGTTAAAATCCAAAAGAGATAGATCTTAGATATTTCACATGAAACATGATCAGTACCACCCAAATTTTTTGTGCATAAGCTCGCACTTTCGTGCCACAAAAGGGCTTGCCGGGGCCCCCAAAAAGAAAGAAAAATTCTGTTCAAAACCCTTTGACGGGAAAAAAGCTGGGGTTTTTCCCAATTTGAACCTTCACAGAAATGCCCCAAAATTTGAATTCATCCCTATTTTTTGCAAAAACCCACGGCTTTGTTTCGCTTCAGTTTTCCCACAAAAATTTTTGGTTTAAAGCTATAAATATTAAAATTATTGCCCAGCTTTCCAGGTAAAAATTCCTGTAGGATTTCTATAAAACACCCACAAATGATCAGTTCCATCCCAAAGTTGTGAAATTTTCCCCAACACATACTGTTTGTCCACAAAATTGGCCCCCACATGAGCTTTTAAAAAATTAAAAATTTCTTTTTCCGCCTTGAACACAGGTCAAATTGCTGGTTGGATTTCAGTGAAACTTCACAGAAGTAATCAGTACAATCCCTCAGGCCTGGTTGTGCATATCGCTGGCATGTTTGCTCTGCTGCACAAAATGGCCGCTTAGTGCTAAAAATTAAAAAAAATAAAATATTGTGCTGTTTTCACAGATCAAACTGCTTTGCTTCATGGCTTTTACGAGGGATTTCTATGATACTTCACAGAAGTGATCAGTACCATCCCTTAAAATGTGCATATGGCTGGCACATTATGCTTTGCTGCACAAAATGACTGCCAGAGCTATAAATAGAAGAATCTTGTCAGGCTTTCACAGGTCAAACTCCTGGTGGGATTTTGATGAAACTTCACAGGAGTGATCATTACCATCACTTGTTGTGCATATCGCCAGCAAATTCTGCTTTGCTGCACAAGATGGCTGCCAGATCTTGAAATAAAAAAAATCTTGTCAGGCTTTCACAGGTCAAACTGCTGGTGGGATTTTAATCAGTCTTAACAGGAATGATTTTAAAGTACCTTTTCCTATTGGGGCATGTTGGGGGAAATTTCAGCCCGCCAAACAAAAAATT